GACTCCTTAACCTAATGCTAGGGTTAAGGGTAATTCGGTCCGCGGCGGGACGCCTATGCAATTAGGGTTTGAGCGGTGAAAAAGTCAAAGGTAAAGGACTATTGACGCGGCGGTCAAAGGGCTAGACCTATTCCTTCGGAAGGGATTTAACGATAAATAAAATAATGAAAATATGATTAAGCGGCAGTATGAAAATATGGGAAAGGTACGAAAATGGTAAAGGAATTGCACAACGACGATATCCTTGCATAAATTACAACCCAAAGAAAATAAAATGTGAAAAGTAAGGGAATTGCAAAGCAACAATATCCTCGCGTAAATTACAATCATAAAATGAAATATGAAAAATGAAGTATTATAACAGTACAACTGAGAAAGCAATGAATGAACTGACATAAAAATTATACGAGAATAACCAGCAAGGTTCAATGTGAAATTGAAAGCGCAACGTTAGACGATTTTAGGAAAGGAATTTAAACTAAATGAGGAATTTACAAAAAAGCGTTTGAATTTAAAATGTTAATTTTTAATTTTGACTAATTTTAATGGATTAATAAAAATCTTATTTTTACAAAAAAGGTTTTTTCAATTAAGGAATGTTGAATTTTAAAGAAATGTTCTAATCAACTTTTTAAAAAAGGTTTCTAGTTAACTTTAAGAAAAGGTTTTAAAAAAGGGTTTTGATTTTTTTTTAAACAAAGGCTTTCATCTTCAAAAAAAGAGTTTTAGTTTAAGAAAGGTTTTAATTTTAAAAAACGGTTTTAACTTAAAAAAGGTTTTAATTTAACCTAATTAAGCTAAATTGTAAAATAAAAATAATAAAAAAGGTTTTAACTTTATGAAAGGTTTTATCAACCTAATTAAACCAAAATATAAAGTTAAAATAAAAATGAATGAATGGTTTTAATGAATCTAATTTCCTTAAACTTTAAAAATATAGAATAATACTAATAATAATAATAATAATAAAACAATGAAATAAATATAAAAAAAAGAATATAAAGCAATTGGAATAAAAATGGGGGAGGGGCGACGCAGCTTCTCCGTTGTTGTTCTTTTGAAGCTTTTCGTTCATTCCTCCCACCATTCTTGCTCTTCCCGGTAGGGTTCTGAAAACACAAAGTAAATAAAAAAACTGTTAGTATCAAAATTGTTCACCTTTTTCGCGAGGTTTTAAGCGATTTGAGTTGGTTCTTTTTCGCCTCTTTTTCCTTATTTTTCTGCTGATTGAACTTCCCTTTTTCTTCCCCCTTCTGGATTTCTTTTTTTTTTTTGATGAACTGATGGTGAGGTTGCTGTTTATATAATACTTGTTTTCTTGGGCCTTGGCATGCTGGTTGTTGCAATTTTCATGGTTGGTTTGTTGATTTCTTTGACCTTGTTTTGCTAAAATTTTGGGAAAGTTGTTTCTGCTGGCTTTGACCCCGTTTGGTTGTAAGGATTTTGGGAAAGTTGTTTCTGGACATGGATATCCATTTTTCCTTGATGGATCTGGATATCCACTTTGGTTCTATGGATTTTGGATGTCTTAAGTCTTGTTTGGCTAAAACCAAGAAAAATCAATTTTCCCACATAAACACTTTTCCAAAAAGCACTTTTTCAAAAAATCACTTTTTCTCTCTCTTGGAAACAAACTTGACAGATTATTGTCGGGTCCAAAAAGTCGAAAGTTGAAGAATTGGACGCGGAGACAATTAGGTTTTTTAGAAAAATAATCAAAAATTAATTTGCAATTGTAATTGTCTTTGCACATTGTAATAAAAAACATAGATTTTAAATAAATTAATTTCATTTTTCTTACTAAACTGAACTTAATTCCTGATCAAATTTCTCCGCGTAAATTCACCCGCTTACACTCAAGCAACTAAATTCGCTCGATTACGTTCCACCAATCAAATTCATTCGATTAAATTCAAACGACTAAATTCCTCTGATGAAACTCATCTAAATTAATTCGTCTGATTAACTTCATCCAATTAAAATTATCTGATTAAGCTTTGACGTTCCAAACCTCGAATTCGACAATTAATCATCTTGTACGATTTAAATCTGATGTAACTGTTGAGTTTAAACAAGTCCTTTTTGCCCTTCATAGATTAAATCGCACACAGCGTGATTTTCCTGCAAATAAAACCAACAGACTGGACAAATTGGTTAGCGGTCAGTTAGAATGCGATGCAGAATGAGATGAGATGCGAAAAGAACCTAATAATCTAAGGGTATAATTTGGGGTGTGACAGCCAAGGACAGGATCCTCGACCTAAGCCCTACTCAAATGGCGCGGCTAAACAAATGGTGAAGATGCCTGGTAGTTCTCCCTAGCACATCCAAGGATAGTCCCTGGTTACAAAACCCAGAAATCTCACGGGGAAACCACCAAAGTCCATGGCCCCTCCGGCAGTGGCACCGTCGTTTCTTCCTACCCCGAGATCAATTAAACATATGGGTTGCTAACTTGCCCTTCCTAAAAACAGCAACTACACGACCGTCAGCAGACAGATGGTCGCGCCACCGTCTGCCACCGCTGATTACGCCCTATAACTAAGTCATTTCAGTCCTAACCACATGTAATCTAAGGTATCAAATCAGAAAAACAAGGAATAAATAGAGAATCGATGTACTTACATGATCGAGGAAGAAGCTCTGGACCTAAAGCAACTCTGGTCGGATGTCGTACAGTGGTCGGAACTTACTTGAAGGAAACGAGCGGCGGTTGAAGAAATGGGCAAGAAGAAAGAGAAGCGAAAGTTCTTAATGAATGAACCCTCTCACTTTTTATAGGCAAATGACAGGCACGTGCACGAGCACGCGCGAGTAGGGCATCATCATGACCCTAGCCTAGCCATCATCATGCATTTAATGCAGTACACGACTCAAGGCACACGTGGCATCCTCACTCTTCAGATCCCATCAACTGTTGGACTCCCAAGATCCCCGACACCAACATTCATGATGCTCGGGCAAGTGTTCATCTGAACACAACAGAGATCATGGAGACTATGCCCAAGAAGCAGACCATTCTTAAGTCATCATTACTGTGCTCGGTAGCAACGACTTGGGGGGCTACTGTTCCGGACTGGCCCAATGGTTAGGCATGGCCCAACCCACTTCTTCTCCCAAAACGGTCCAATTGCCTAAGTCCAACCTCTTTGGGGGAAAGTTTACCTTTCAGCCCCTCCAACAGGGAGGCTGACCTATTTACCCTTAGTCACAGCACTTCTCCCCGTCAGTCTCTTCCCGTCACACACGGTTCCACCATTCAGAAACAGTTAAACGCTTGTGCCCGTAACTACGCCCCTGCTTGTGCCAACGGCTAGTTATGGGCACGTTTTCCCGTCCCAACGGCTATTTTTTGCAGTTACCTATTCTTCGGAAAACGGTTATCTCACTCCGAAAATAGGGACCAATGGCCAAGCGATGAGGGCTTTATAAAAACACTTTCATTTGAGAGGGTCAGGTATCCAATTTTTCACCTTGAAACACACATATTCTGTACTTGCTCGTTTTCTTACTTTAGCATCAGAGTGCCTTGCAGGTACACCCCCTCCTCCTTTTTCACACCCAACATCACAGACGTTTGTCTTCAGCCCATCTCAGGTTCTGATCGTTCGGTAAGATCAATAACTTATTTGAGCCTTTAATGTGTTATCTATTTATTGATGAAACGGCAAGTTTCATCAGATACTTTGTATGCACTTGTTGATTGCACTTGAATATATAGTAGATCTTGAGATTGAAAGGATATTCAGAATCCAAATTAGATACCAATGGACTCATTGCCTTTTTAGGAACACCATGTTGCACAAATTTTCAAGTAACAGTAAAAACTATAAAAAAAACAAGACTTAAGCAACATCAATAATGTAAAATACAATGATAATTTCACTATATGTAGATCATGCAAAGTTCACACACTCATTAGATAGGTCTATATTGAAATCTAAATGAATAAAAAACTTTAGAAAATTAAGTTAAATTATATTTTGATCAAGAAATGTGGTTCATATTTATGTTTTGTTAGAAAAAACAAACATAGAGAAAAAAAGGAACACAATAATAACACAAGATAAACGTGGAAAATCCAAAACCGGAGAGAAACACCATGATCGTTGTCAAATGACAACCAGAGAATAACACTATGTGAAAATTATTACAACACATAGACTACCTTCAACCACCCCAAGACCCCAATACACACACATTCTCCAAAGCAAATATTTAGTTATCCCTCACAACTCTCTTAAACCAAGAGTATAAGATAAAGTTTATATATAAAAAAAACAAATACAAGTTTAAAGTGTTTTTAACTAGTACATCTTGGAATGAAGAACTTGAATCATATATATAGCATTGGACTCTCACTTCCTTCACAAAATAAGTGATGTGGGACTTCAAATAACTTGTATCATATATATAGCCTTGGACTCTTTTTTCATTCACAACACTAAGCGATATCAGACTTTTTTAACATGTATATTTTCAATCAACCCCAATAACCTCCACCTTGATTAAAAATAATACATAAGCTTTCATTGTCTTCACAGACAATCATACTCTACCATAAATAGTATAGTCACTTTAAGCTACACCACTCCAAGAATTTCACATTGTATTCATCGACAATCATAATTTTCAAAAACTATCATACTCCACCTAAAGAAGAGTATACTTCACTTGAAGTTAAACCACTTCAAGAATTTTCCCATGTAGAAAACCATGTTGAACCTTTATGGTGCAACTTCCTTGTTGGCAAGAAACTCTTCTACCATCGACATAATCTCACAACACATTTTGCATTAATTCCCATGTGTTAATACGCTAGCAATAACTTGTCCTTTTCCATGACAGCGGAAATTTCATGAGAACACACTTCTTAATTTTCATTGAAGATCATCCTCTCTCACAGTGAGAGAGAAACTGCTAGCATTTGACTCAGAGCCCTTCTCTGACGCAGCCCCATCGGGATACTTATACTTTATATATCCAAGCTTTCCATATTTTCAACATCTCACACTCGTTTCATTGTTTTTCTTTACACACGATCTTCCTCTAGCAACCAACACTGAGTTTGATGAAGTATTCTCCTCACCCTTCAATCTTCTTTCTTCAGAAACAATCTTACTAGCAACTTCTTCAAAGCTTAAAGTTTCATTCTCATATATTAAAACAGGTTTAATATGCACATAGGAAGATGGAAGAGACCATATGAGTCTCAAAGCTTTATCTTCATCATCAATCTTGACTCCAATAGTTTCTAATTCAGGAACAATACCATTTAGAACACTTAGATGATCATATACTTTCGTATGTTCATCCATACGCAAGCTATGAAACTGGTCCTTCAACAATAAACGATTGGATATACCCTTTCCTTAATATAGCCCTTCAAGTTTCTCCCAAAGCTTTTTGGCTGGTGACATACCAAGAACATTCGCAAGAATATTCTTAGCCAAAGACATGTGGATTATACTCGAAACTCTCAAATCTAATTTCTCCCACTTCTCGTTATCCATGATGGAAATGTTTCCTTTCAACGTCTTGTGTAATCTTAGTTGTATCAAAACATCTTTGACTTGAATTTTCCACAAGGAAAAATTAATTATTCCTTCAAACTTCTCTAAGTCAATCTTCACTGCACTTGAAAAACTTGATATTTCAACCAAAATTTTCCCTGCAGCAAAACAAAATTTTCCCAACCAACACAGAGTATAAAATTTCTTTTTTGATGTGGAAAATCAGCCAAAACTGCAACCACAAAGCATACTAAAAAATTTATACCCCATCAAACCAAGACTCTTGATACCACTTTTAAGGAAAAAAAACAAGTATAAAGAAAAAAGAGGAACACAATAACAACACAAGAGATTAATATGGAAACTCCAAAACTGGAGGAAAAAACCATGACCGTTGTCAAATGACAACCAGAGAATAGCATTATGTAAAAATTGTTACAACACATAGACTATCCTCAACCACCCCAAGACTCCAATACACCCACACTTTTCAAATCAAATATTTAATTACCCCTCAGAACACTCTAAAACCAAAAGTATAAGAGAAAATATTTATAAAAAATGTCAAATACAAGTTTAAAGTGCTTTTGACGGATGCATCTTGGAATGAATAACTTGAATCATATATATAGAATTGAACTCTTACTTTCTTTGCAAACTAAGCGATGTGAGACTTCAAATAAATTGTATCATATATATAGTCTTTGACTCTTTCTTCATTCATAAAACTAAATGATATGATGTGGAATTTTTTAACATATATATTTTCAACAAACCCCAACATATTTAAAATTATAAAATAATTATAAAGTTTCACCATAAACTAAGCATTTGAACAAATTGACTTTCATCGTGCAAATGAACATGGTTAGTCGAATGTTTATACTTTTTATTTTGAATGCATAAATTCAACCTTATTTCACAAAAATTATTTGATTAACCATACAAATATCATCAATAACCAAAGTTTGTCAAAATTACATTAAACTAGTACACAAACCAAAACACCTTTGTGTATCAAATATTCATCAAAACATATAATATCTCAACATTTAAACAGAAGCTTAAAAAGATAAACAATAAATTTGATAATCAAGAATGAAAGAAATAAATGAGTGAAAGCTTTTAAAATTCAACGTTTCAGACTCGTTTTATTTTTTTCTCATTATTTATTTGTTCTCGTGTTATCTTTATCACTTCCACTTTCACAAGTGACAAATTCAAGCACTACTTAAACTTGTTACATATTTATCGATGTTATGCATGAGTTGTACTCTCTACTTTTCAAGATATGTGATCTGACCTGATCAGAAGGGGATCTCTGACTGGCCACACTCTACTGGACTGCTGTCTGTGCAATGGTGTAGAGAAAAAGGTGAAGGTGTACCTGCAAGACACTCTGATGCCAAAGTAAGGAATTGGGCAGAGTGAAAGCAAATACAGAAAAGGGGTAAGAAGTAAATTACCTGACTCTCTTGTGAAAGAGGGTATTTATAGAGAGACCCCAGCGCTGGGCCAACGGTCACTTGTGTTGGGCTAGATCTCCAGGCCCAACCCAGGTGACTGCTAGGGCTTACGTGGCGTAGTGAAGACCAGGATGTGGTCTTCGCCCTAGTCCAACTGTTCTGTGAGCTCCAGAAAGTGGGTTTGACCTGCTCTTTCGGAGGTGGGCAGTTGGTTTGTGACGTGTCCCTGCGGAGGGGAGCACGTAGAGAACGTGTGAAAGACACGTCGTAATGCCCGACAAAGGAGCGGATTCTGCCCGCGGAGAGGGCAGTGCTTGATCGATGGGGGAGCTTTGTGCTCGACGTAGCTGGGCAGATTCTACCCGCAGAGGGACATTACTGCACGTCGGGGACCCCTGTGATCGACGGCTGCGGCCCAAGCTGGACTGGGCTTGGCAGACTATTAATGGGCTGGGCCAGCCTGGCCAAGCCGGGGCCCAGGCCAGAACAGGAGCCCCCCAAGTCGTAGCTCCGAGGAAGGGAGCGAGGACTTGATGACGTGGTGCCGGGGAGGAGAGATTAGCCCGAGGAGGAAAACCCTCTGGCTCGTGTTCCGCGGGGACGCGGGTGTACGGGTCCTTCCTCGGTGTTGGTTGCCCGCGCTTGAGGACACGAGTTGGCGAGGAGATGTGAGGGGACGCGACTGTCAGCCTTCGCCACGTGTCACACACTTGGTGGCTGCTAGGGCGGCTACCCTAGGGTACTTTAGTTCCTAGCGACGCTTCGAGTCTCGTGCTGGGGTATAAGTAACCGAGCCCTTGCTCATTCTCTATTTTTCGCCCTCTTGCTCTCAAACTTTCTTCTTTGTCGTCTTGCCGCCGTCTGATCTCTCCGCCACAGCAGCCGCCACGTACTCCGCCGCAGATTGAATCATAGTAAGTTTCCTTTCTCCTTTCTTTCTTTTTTCCTGTTTATTTTAGGATTGTGGTCGGGGTAGTTTGCATGCCCCGAGGAGAGGCTAGAATCTCTGCCGTTATAGGGGGATTTTCTAGGGTTGTTCCGTGAGCATCCCAAGGAGAGATGCCAATTCTGATGAATGCCCCGGGGACGGATGCTTGTTCCGATGAATGCCCCAGGGAAAGACGCTTACTCCGATGAACGTCCTGGGGAGCGACGTACATTCCGATGAACCCCCCGGGGAGAGTTTGTAGGTTAGGTTGAGCTGGTACCCCGGGGAGGTGGTAGGTTTCGGGTAGAGCCACCGGGGACGATGCTCAGTGTGTCCTCGTCGCCCTTTCACTTGACTTGCGGTGGAAGGGTGAATTTGATCTTTGTCATCGAATTCACCGTTACCTTCTGCTTTTCAGGTGTTAATGACTACGTTTGTCCTGGGCACAATGGTTGAGGATAATGAACTAGACGTTCCATACTTTGATGAGCGCGTCCTTCCCCTCGAGGATTGGGTGGTCGAGGAACCTTTGTCCATGCCCTCCTGCTTCGCTTCTGACCCGATGGGGGCCTATGCCACCGTGGAGGACCGGCTAGAAGGAGATCCCCAGAATTGGTAAGTTTATCGTCCCCGGCCGGGCCACCTAATTTGCTCGAAGTATGGGCGGATGCGCTTCCTGATGTATGAATTCTATTTCAAAGAGGCCAGGCTCAGGTTGCCGTTCTCGGACATCCACCTGGGCCTCTTCGACTGGCTGAGGTTAGCTCTGTCGCAGCTGCACCCAAACGCCTTGGCTTTTATTCGGGCATTCGAGGTCGTTTGCCGCTATCTTCAGGTCGGCGTCACGCTGCCGCTATTCTTCCGTATCTTCCATCTGCAATGGCAGACGTTGAATGGTCGGCACGGCTAGGTGTCGTTCAAGAAACCGGATAGGCTTTTCAAAATGTACATGGACTCTGTCCGGGATTTCAAGGGTCGTTTCTTCGTTGTCATCCCAATCACGCGCGAGGGGGTTGGCTCTTTATATTCATAAGGGGAGTGGATCATGGATGGTCGCCGAGAGGCCTTCATGTTGCCTCCCGTGCATGTGGAGTGGTCCCCAGAACATTTCTCTCAGGGAATAGATCGGTACATAGTGCGCGCGGGGTCGCTTGACGAAGAGGACATGGCCAGCTATATGAAGATAGTCTCGTTTGTGCACAGCCTGCCGTCGTCGAAGCTGGTGACCCCTGATGGCCAGTACATCCTCGACAGCCAGGGGAATGTCTATGAGACACCGAGGTTGATTAATACAAAGGCTCTGCTCGAGTGTCCCTCGGAGGCGGATGCCCTTCGCTATCTAGGTGGTGGATGCCTCACCCTTCTTACGACCTGATACTCTTTATCTTTTATTGACTAGCTTTCTTTGTTTTGCAGGGAACATGTCTTCCGTCGAGGAGCAGGTAAAAAAGTTGTGCGCGTCAAGGGTTGTTGTTCCTCCGAAGACGCGGGTTGCCCAGCTGGTCGGGCAGGCTTCCGCAGACAAGAATGGCCGCGGGTCGTCATCTTCTCCACCCAGCAGTCAGTCGCCCACCTCGCAGGGGGCCCCGAAGAGGCTCCGAGTCCAGGAGGTGGAGGCCGTGGTCGACTTATCAGCGGACTCGACCGAGGAGGGCTACCCCATCGCCCCTTGTCACCAGCACCCTGGCTACTTTCATGGGGCCAGGTTGCCCAGCATTCCTGCCGGGGAGGCGAAGGCGGTTTTAAGCGCGGATCGGGCTACGCAGAGGCAGGTCCTGATCGGGGACTTGGCTGCCTTGATGCGGACCTTTACTACCGCGATGGTTCTGAGCGAGGAAAGCTGCTCATCTGTCGAGTTGTCCAAGCTGCAGGGGGACCTTGCTTTCATGCAGTCTCGCTCGAATAAGGCTGTCGAGGACCTAGAGCTGAGCCGGGGAAAGGTGACTCAGCTAACCGAGGAGCTGGAAAAAAGCCAAGGGGAGGTTGCCCGTGAGCGCAAGAGAGGGGATAGCGCTGAGGAAAGGCTGAAGGATGTCGAGGAGGAGGTGCGGGCACTGAAGGCTCACGTGGAGAAGTTGAAGGGTGGTCTTCTTCCTGCTGATGATGAGAGTGAGAAGGACAGGCAGATGGTTACATGGGCTGATCTGCTCGCTAGAATACGAGTGCTGGAAGGTGATTGTCTGGACGCCTTCGCCGCAGGTTTCAATGGCGCTGTCGTGCAGCTCAAAGTGGGGAACTTTGGCGTTGCCTTGGTCGAGGATGGCATCGGGCCCTTCCATGAGATAATCGATGGTCGGATGGTCGACCCTAGTGTCAAGGATGCTGGCCCCGTTGTTCCTTCCGTCGAGCCCGAAGTGGAAGAGGAAGAAGGAGCGTAGATTAGTTTCGGGCCTGCGTGCCCGCGTATCCTG